TGAAGTCTTCAAATCTCCTAGTTGATAGGAACTGGACTGTCAAGGTTTGTTGCCGGTCATGTTTCTATTTCTTAAATCCCTCTATTTGATGTTTTGTGGTCCATAAGTTTTTTCTTCTTTGGGTTACACAGCAGTTCTATCAAGTTAAACAATGACCCATTTAATGTTATCTGAACAGGTTGGTGATTTTGGTCTTTCACGTCTTAAGCATGATACATTTCTCACAACCAAGACTGGGAAGGGGACGGTATTTTAACTCGTCTTTACTAATTATATTAAACCAATCAGTCTAATGTCACTATATATGAGCCTGCATAAAATTTTGAAATTCTCACTTACATGTGGCAATTTTATTTTTTGTAGCCTCAATGGATGGCACCAGAAGTTCTACGTAATGAACCCTCAGATGAGAAGTATGTTGTAATTGTTCATCTGGAATATTTACCTTAACGGTGTCTTGGTTCCTTCTATGATTTCTATAACTAAATTTATCTCTTTGTGCTGTTTGGAACTTTGGATGTATATAGGTCTGATATATACAGCTATGGGGTGATATTGTGGGAGCTTGTTACTGAGAAGATCCCTTGGGACAATCTAAACTCAATGCAGGTATTGTTTTCTTTGATAAAATATCCAGACACTATTCAAGAACGAAGGATATCACAACATTTCTGTAAACTTACATAAATTAAATTTTTTTGTAATTGTTTATTACCTTCTTTTAGAGATGTAATATTAAACTCAATATCCTCAGTTCTCCCACAAACCTTATTTTTCAGTGGCGAGAAATGAACCAAGCATTCTTAGTAGTATCTCTTCACTATGCCATTTCTTTTTATAATAATAACAAAAGGGGCCAGGATGTATTGTGTGCACATATGAACAACAATTTTTTTAGGATACTTGCAGGTGATTGGAGCTGTAGGGTTTATGAACCAAAGGCTAGAGATCCCAAAAGATGTGGACCCTCAGTGGGCTTCTGTGATTGAGAGCTGCTGGCAGAGGTGGTAATTCTTTCCATGCTTCTTAGTTGATTTCATATTTTTGATCCAAGGATTAAATTTAGTATATGAAATGCTACCCCTCAACTTGGATCAGTTCACATGTGATTATCATCTCAGTAGTTGGTCAGTATGCTTACAAAATAGTCCGTATGACATTTGTGAAGTACATGACCCTCACTTTCTTTGTTTGACATGCTGCTAGAAGCATATCTTCATATCATTTGCTGCACTTGTTTTACCAACTTGCCTTTCTAGCCAGAATTAGCCTAATCAATAGGGCTTTGCATTAACCATCACTATATTGTGGACTGTAGTCAATTGCAAGTAGGTGTATATATGTTATATATGATGTTCATATTAATTGCATATGGATAAGGATCATATTATCCTATGAATATTTTATTGTCTTCAAAAGATGTGTAGTTTGATTTTTGTGGTAAAGGTAGTTTGGCATGCGTTTGTTGGGTCGTATGGATATTTGAAAGGGACATTGATGGCATCTGAAGGTCAAGCTTAGTTATTTATTATCCTGTAGTGTCTGGTGTCTATAATTCAAGACTTCTATGTTGTTATTTCTTCTAACTGTTATTAATCAACTATGGTAAAACGGCGGCTATTGTGCTGATTTCAACTTCATCAAAACCAGTGATGCAGCTTCTCGGCCAACATTTCAAGAACTGCTGGAAAAGCTTAGAGACATGCAGAGACAATATGCTCTTCAGTTTCAAGCAGCACGTTCTGCTGCGGGTGATATCACCCAAAAGGAATTGTAGCTCAGCTTTGTGTGGCATTGCATTGGGTTTCTTTATCTACCACATTGTTGGATGAAGAAGCAAGGCACTCTCAAATAGATGCTTTTTCACTTGTTGCTGGAAAAATGGTAATTAGCCAGAGATAGCCACAAATGGCAAGTGGTATTTGGAACCACAAAGTTGAAAGGCAGATAGATAGTAGCTGAGAGGGAGCTGCCTAATTGTAGATGATGATGGGTTTGAATGTGTGATGATGGTTGTTTATTCACTCCACTGACATGACATCCTACAAAAGTAAAATTATGGGCTTCAAAGTACGCTGTGTCATGCAACAGGGCGCCACATGCCGCCCATTTTGTGATTCTATATTGGAAAATTCCAAGCACCATTACTCAGAAAAAGAAAAAGAAAAAAGGTTGTACAAAGGGGTAGAGTCTTTATTCATTTTAGTAAATAGAGTGAGTTACCAATCTCTTTGCTTTATCATTTCAATTTACTGGGTTTTTATTATTGATCCCTCATAGGCAATTCTGCGGCAATAAAGCTTGAAAATTTAAGTGCTTGTTGTGTGCTTATGCTTTGCTGATATTTTATCACATGCACTGGTTGTTATAAAAGCACCTGGCACTTCACTTTATCAATGTGTCTCTCTCTGTTACCAATATCTGGGTCCAGTGCATTGGATTGGATGGCCATCGCATGCCGTAAGAGGAATTCCCTAATTTGTCCCAACGTGCATATAAGTTGATAATATCCACTGCAGCACAAAAGTTTTGGCAGACAAATAATATCTTTAAAGATGGTGTTAGGCCAACCGCATATTGGTAACAGACAATATGGACGGGCAGGAAAACGAACGCGCTTTCTTCTTGTCATGGAATCTTATCTTAGGAATTAGGACGGCCACTTCTATTTGGTATAATCTTCCATTAAACGCTGAAACAAATCTGGGTCAATCCAAGCCAAACATGTAACACTCACAAACCTGCACGTTTCTTAATAATCTATCCTCGTCACAAATCACAATACAACAATGTGAACATCTGATTTAACATTGAACAATGAAAATAAGAAGAAACCCAAGTTCTTGTCATCTTCATTTTGTCAAGGGCATTATTCTAGTGAAGCAAGTGTCGAATGGCAGCAACGGCATCACCTTTGTGCTCCCGCAAGGTCCTCTCAGCAACCTTCCTGTCCAACTCTAGTTCATTTGCAATTATGTCAACATCAGCTGCATTGATCTTCACTGCAGCCAATTCCTTCTCCCTGTAAATTGTGATGAAGCATAGAGAGCCATGGAGCTCTTTCAGAAAGCTGAAAACTTTAAATATGGGCAGGCCCAAGTCTTAAACAAGCTCATCTTATGCTTATGTTTGGCATCAAAAGATGCAATTTGCTACACATTATATACAAACATATAATTATTGCTAACTCAACTTCAGTTCTGCCTAAACCCCAAATCAAAGTTAACAACTTTATGCAAATTTCATGACAAAAAAATTGTGCTTTAATCGCATATGTAATTCAAACTCAATTAAGTTAACCCTAAATTGACATTTTTGATAGAAAGAAAAAAAATAATTCAAACTCAATTAAGTTAACCCTAAATTGAAATTTTTGATAGAAAGAAAAAAAAAAAAAAAGAGTGAATCTGAACAGTGACCTCAATCGCATAGCATTCCAATCGGCTTCGGAGGAGGCAGCAATGGAAGCCATGGCCTCCTGGACTCGGGTAGAGTCGAGCTGGCGATCTTCGACGCGGTCAGTGAGCTTATCGAAGGCTTTGCTCTGCTGCTGCAAGTCCTTCGAGTTCTCCACCCTCTCTATCTCTCCTTCTCCACCTCCCTCCATTTTCTTCTCTTCTCTGATCCTGCTTTCGATTTTGATTGCGTTTTCTTTCTGCTTCTCACACAATTCAGAGAAATAGAGAGAATTACAAGCCTCTTTTTTTTTCTGAAGGAATTTCCTAAAACCCTAGATTTTGTTGAGACTTGAAGTGGTGGGTGAGTGCCTGCTTAGAAATTGAGAATTGAGGACTTAGGAGCCCGTCACTACTGGGCTAGAATGAGAGAAGGCCCAATTGAGCTATAATCATAGCCTGCTCAGCCCTAACTTGTGTGCGAAGTCAATGGTAAACCCTAGGCATGGCCCAAGAGGGTGGCAATGGTCAAGTGAGAGAATTAATCGATTTTATTTTTCTTTCTACTCGCTAACGGTCTTTTTTTTTTGGAACAAGCAAAGGTACAAAGTTAGACCCCCTTGGAGTCCTTACACCAATTGTATAGGGTAATATGACAAAGTACAAAGTCGAAGGAAAACTAGAAAACCACATACTCCTAGTTTGCCCAATATTAGCAAATCCATCTGCAGCTCTATTCGCTTTTCTGAAAACATGTCGAAATAAGATCTCTTCAAAATCTTCAGCAATTAACTGGATATCTTTAATGATTGCAGCAACATTCCATGGACATTGACTCCTTTTACAAAGGATATGAATAAGAGTTTGAGAATCGCCTTCAATAAATATCTTGAGTCCTGAACTTACACTGTCGAGCGCAATAAACTACATGGCGAAGAGTTAAGCCTTTGCTTGTAGCACAGAACAATAACCTGTTGGCGAGTAGAATATATCCTATTCTATTTGGGTTTTATTTATTTTACCTTTTGTATAGATATTATGTAATTAGGATTCCACTTATTTCCTAATTAAACCCTACTAGGGTTTGTAACCTGTATTATAAATATCTCCTTTCGGAGAATGAAATATATCTGAAAATATTCTACCCATATTGTTTGACTTGGTATCAGAGCCAGGTTTCTGGTGACCTGTGTGTGTTATGCCCACCCGTGTTCTACTGTGTGCCCTAATTTCTTTTAGGATTCTTGTGTCTGTGCCTTTGCCGTGTTCCGCTGTGTGCTCTGTCGTGTTCGTGCCTCTACTGTGTTCGTGCATCTGCTTCTA